GAAAATTTTTTGAAACCCACCACTGATTCGCATCCTTGCTATGGTTTTCCCAGTTGCAATAGATGGCTGTGAAAGTTGGACCATAAGAAAGGCTGTGAAAGTTGGACCATAACAAAGGCTGAGCAACAAAGAATTGAGACCTTTGAACTCTGGTGCTGGAGAAGACTCCTGCGAGTCCCTTGGACTGCAAGGCAATCAAACCGGTCAGTCCTAGAGGAGATCAACCCTGACTGCCCTTTAGAAGACCAGATCCTGAAGATGAAACTCAAATACTTTGGCCACCTAATGAGAAAGAAGGATTCACTGGAGAAGAGCCTAATGCTGGGAAAGACTGAGGGCAAAAAAAGAAAGACAACAGAGAGTGAGGTGGCTGAATGGAGTCACCGAAGCAGTCAGCATGAGCTTAAATTGACTCCAGAGGATGGTAGAGGACTGGAAGGCCTGGAGGAATGTTGTCCATGGGGTCACAATGGGTCGGACACGACTTCGCAACTAACAACAACAATGATATTACATTGTTATGACCTATCTTGAGAACAATTCTTATTTATTGATGTTATTAACAATTCTGCATGGCAACCTAATCTCAACTATGTTGAGAACATAGTTTCCCAGCAGCCCAAGGGTGTCATTGTTGTACAGGGCAGCAATCAGCCCTTGGAGGGGATGGCCCACGCCAGCTGTTGTAGCCATTTGGAGTGGCAATAGAATGAGATTAGAATAAATCAGAGTACAGGTAGTCCTCGACTTATGGCCACAATTGAGTCCCAAATTTCTGTGAGATATTTGTTAAATGGGTTTTACCCCATTTTACAACCTTTCTTGCCACAGTAGTTAAGTGAATCATTGTGGTTGTTAAGTTAGTAACATGGTTGTTAAATGAATCAGATCTCCCCACTCACTTCTCTAATCAGAATGTTGCAAAAGGCAACTTGACCCTGGGATTCTGCAATTGTCATAAATATGAGTCAGTTGCCAAACATCTGAATTTTGATCCCATGACTATAGGGATGCTGCAAAGTATGAAAATTGGTCTTATGTCACCTTTTAGTAACTTTGAACTGTTACTAAATGAACTGTTGTAAATCGAGGGCTATCTATAGAGTATCTGCTCCAAAGGATGAAGAAAAGCCTTGGAGAGATGCAAGATGGATGCAGAGTTTCAAAACATGGGAGAAATTCATGTCAACATTAAGAAATGATAAGTGGTTTTTTTTTTTTTTACTTATGGCCACTTGTTTAGCAACTGTTTGAAGTTTATGTGCTGCTAGAAGAAGACGATTTATGACCAGTCCTCAAAGGTACCATTGGTTGAAAGACTCTGTTCCTGCAGCTCAGGAGAGGTGGACACTGTGGGTCACATATTCCTTCGATGTTTCTATGTAATAGAGAATCAGAAAAACCATATTCTGCCAATAATTCCTAGGTATCCTGGCCATTCTGACACTGCTCATCTCCAGCGGCTGCTTAAGGATGAACAGTCCATACCCACAGTGCAGGTGGCTGGATTCCGCACAGCAGCACGGAGATTCATCGGAAACAGGTATCTAATACACCATAGTTATGTTATACAACAAATGTAGCAAAACCTTTGCACTGCTTATTCCTTTCCATTTTAGTAAAACTCACAATGGGCCACTCATTTTATAGATTGTAATTGTAGTATAGTTAGACCATATATAGAATAGAATAGAATCAGGGGTGGTTCTGGCAATCACTACTGCCAATTCGCTCATGGATGCGAATAGAATAGAATAGAACAGAACAGAATAGAATAGAATAGAATAGAATAGAATAGAATAGAATAGAATAGAATAGCAGAGTTGGAAGGGACCTTGGAGGTCTTTTAGTCCAACTCCCTGCTCAGGCAGGAAACCCTATACCATTTCAGACAAATGGATATCCAACATCTTCTTTAAAAGGGTTGGAGCGTTCACAACTTCTGGAGGCAAGTTGTTCCACTGATTAATTGTTCTAATTGTCAGGAAATTTTTCCTTAGTTCTAAGTTACTTCTCTCCTTGATTGATTTCCACCCATTTCTTCTTGTTCTACCCTCAGGTGCTTTGGAGAATAGTTCGACTCCCTCTTCTCTGTGGCAGCCCCTGAGATATTGGAACATTGCTATCATGTCTCCCCTAATTCTTCTTTTCATTAGACTAGACATACCCAGTTCCTGCAACCGTTCTTCATATGTTTTAGCCTCCAGTCCCCTAATCATCTTTGTTGCTTTTCTCTGCACTCTTTCTAGAATCTCCACATCTTTTTTACATTGTAGCAACCAAAACTGGATGCAGTATTCCAAGTGTAGCCTTACCAAAGCATTATAAAGTGGTATTAACACTTCACGTGATCTTGATTCTATCCCTCTGTTTATGCAGCCTAGAACTGTGTTGGCTTTTTTGGCAGCTGCTGCACACTGCTGGCTCATATTTAAATGGTTTTCCACTAGGATTCCAAGATCCCTCTCACAGTTACTACTATTGAGCAAGGTAACACATATACTGTACTTGTGCATTTTGTTTTTCTTGCCTAAATGTAGAACCTTACAATATAATTGACAGATTGAATTTTATCAAAGATTTTAGTTGTTATTTATTATTTTATACTAGAATTTTTAATTGTACATTTAGTGAATGCTTTTATTTGTTTTGGTCTCTGGTCTATTACTGTGATAAACTAGATTGATTGATTGAAAGTCCTCAAACATACAACTATTTTAGCATCTTTTCACAAGCAAAGCCAATGGGGAATCTGGCAGAGAAGTTTGTAAGTCATAGTCATGCGATGTCTCACTTAATGACTGTGGCAAAAAAGACTGTAAAATTGGATGTGGTCCCATGATGCCTCACTTAATACTCACTCAAGAAATTTCCTGGTCTCTGTTTTGATCTTAAAATACGGATTACCTGTATGGGTAATCCATAGTGGGAACAGGGCAAGATTAGATGACATTGGATGATGTATATAAAATACATTATGCTCAGTTTTCTTTCTGTAATGCCTTTACAAATGTAAATGTATTTTTCATTCACTTCAAATTACATATGTAGGAGGGAAGTTTTAAAAATAAAAAAGATGGTAATGCTATACATCAATCTGGTAGGTAGGAGAAGAGACCCAGGAGAAGTTTGAAGTTTTGTTGTCCATTAAAGTTCTCCTTTTTACTTACCTGTAGAAGGTTCACTGCCTCCATCCTGCCTGTCCTTATGGATATCCAGTGCCAGCTGTAAGCGTAAACCTGGAAGCAGAAATGGATACTAGCAGCTAAATGGCATTTTATACTGTGATTACAGAAATATCATTCATTTAAATCTTAAAACAGAGACTTCCTCCTCTCTAGAAATCTTTATACTGAGCAGCCCAAAGCATCCAAGATTTCCACAAATGAGGTACTATATAAAAAGAATGTATTTAACTAGTTGTGTTCCCCAGAATTGATATAAATAGACTGTCTCTTACACAAGACTTAATATTTAAGTAGTAGCCAGTTTCTAATCATTTTATTTTGTGTATTTAATATTGATAAAACCCCATTTGGAATCACTGTGAGATGGTAATTTCAGTTTACCAATTTTATATATATAAGACCCTCTATCTTATTTCACCAGTCTAACAAATCTCAACTTCCAACTGCACTGATTTGATGGTATTTCCTTAAATAAATATGATATAAAATACAGGTAGTACTTGACTTACAGCCACAACTGAGGCTAACATTTCTGTTGTTAAATGAGACATTTGTTAAGTGAATTTTGTCCCATTTTATGATCTTTCTTGCCTCAGTTGTTAAGTGAATCATTGCAGTTGGCAAGTTAGTAATCTGGTTGTTAAGTGAATCTGGTTTCCCCGTTGACTTTGCTTGCCAGAAGGTCACAAAAGGGGATCTAATCTATTCTATTCTGTTCTACTCTACCCTACCTACCTTACCCTACCTACCTTACCCTACCTACTGCCCCACCCTACCCTGCCGTATCCATTGCAGTAATATGGTTAAGTGAAGAAAAGATCATCAATTGGGCATGACTCATTTAGCAAGTGCCTCACTTAGCAATGGAAATATTGGCCCCCTTCTGTTTGTAAGTTGAAGACTATCAGTAATAGTAATAATAAATATGCCTTCTAGAAATAGGTTGGCTTTTACTGACGAAGAAAGATGGAGAAATGTCATACATTTGGGGATAACGAATTCTGGACTTGTAGATTTTTGTTGTTGTTGTTTAGTTTCTATTTTGTACCTGCTATGAGTCGTGCTGCACCAGAGCTCGTAGGACACTCTTCTTCCAAATTTATATAGTTTTCATTGTCTATAATGTAAATACAGTTGATTATCACCAGCAGCCCCATGATTCAATAATTTTGTCAGCATCCTATGGAGTCAGTTTCTGTTTTGAGAATTATCCTATAAGTTCTCATAAGACATCCAAGGTCACTTGATAGTGAGAGGAGTGGCATATAAATTTAATTAATAAATAAAAAATAACTAAAGCCATAAGAAGGAAAAGGAAGGAAAATAATGTTACTGCAGTAACATGTTGCATCAAAATCTGCAGCTGCCACAATGAAGTGTTATGAAGACTAGGGGATCTTTGGTCCCATTGTGGACCCCCAAATGAAGGCTCCTGGGCACAAGGTTTTACAACCAGTACTAGTGGTAAAGTATCTTTACCACAGTCAATATACAGTCAATATATTTATTAATTTCAAAATTCTAAGACATCTTTGTTTAAACTACTTTTGTTTAAAAAATAGTCTGGGTTAGAATAAAAAACAAGAATAGGCATGTTAGACCAGAGGGAAAATATATATCTACAATATGACAATGTGGAATAGAATAAAGTACTTCTAGCTGTCTATGAAGATTCTCACCTGTCCAGGTCATAGTTGTATCAAAAGGTTTTTTTATTTTTGATTGATTATTTTTGAGGAAAAAGAAGACATTTCGCTTCTTATCCTGGAAGCTGTATTGGATGGTGTGGGAGATGGAAGGCAGTTATTGACAGTTAAGATTAGTTTGGGGGAATGGTGGTGGTGGGAGAATGAAAAGACTGTGTTTTCTTTTTCCTCAAAAAATTAGTCTAGTTGTCTTTTCAAAAATAAAAACCAGCTTTGATGTACTTCTAGCTGTTCCCAAATAACATGGTGTTGCAGTACATTACACATCACATTACCTCTAGCTCAGTGATTCTCAACCTTGGTCACCTGAAGATGCGTGGACTTCAACTCCCAGAATCCCCCAGCCAGCTCTGCTGGGAATTCTGGGAGTTAAAGTTCACGCATCTTCACGTGGGCCAAGATTGAGAAGCACTGCTCTAGCTAAAACACCTGGGTATGTGTGAAGATACATTTCAACACATGAAGAACACCAGTTTTGGAAACCTAGTTGGCTTTCCTTTATATTTAGTATTTCTCAACCTTGGCAATGTTAAGACGTATGGACTTCAACTCCCAGAATTTCCCTATCAGCATGCTGATGTGAGAATTTTGGGAACTGAATTCTCCTCATCTTAAAATTGACAAGTTTTAGAAACCCTGATCTATGCTTGTCTTTTCAACTTCCATATCAAATCCAGACACTACCTTCAGCAATGGGGTCTTGGTCTTGGATCAAATTCTCAAGGACCTGCTCGGTTTTGTTGGAGTACCATGAGTCATCTATGGGACATAAGAAAGCAATAATTAAGAATATTCTACTGACATCTTATCATGTCACCTGCATTCCTCATTCTGTCAAGACACACCCATACATTTCTCAATACCTGAGTTCCCATTGTGAAGATCAAACGTCACCTTGTCCTTGTTATTTTCGTAAATGAGCACATCTATGATAGAAGAAAGAATAGTTGTCATTTTTAAAAAAAAAAGAGGAAGTAAAGGATGGCTGTCATTGCTAATCCACATGCTTTGCATACTGTATGTGAAACATATCTGGGGAAGAAGGGTGGGTCTTTTTTCTGAGATCTTGAGGAGCTGTGGACAACTCTTGTAGCAACAGTTTGAAGAACTTCTCAATTTGTACCTCACCAAGGCACAAATCTGCTCTGGCAACATGTGTTTTCTGTTGTATCTTTGTGATAAGGCCTTCATCTTATCCACAGACAATGAATGGGCCATGCATAAGGCATCTGATGTTAAAATATTATTCCACTCCCCGCCTTATTCCAACACCAGCTAAGGGTAATTTCAAGGCATGTCAATTCTGTTTTTGTTATCCATTTATTTGGAGGGGAATCAAGCGAATTATTCTCTCAATGATTTGACAGGATAAGGTTGATAAGGAAAGGAAATTTCATCCTGGTGCTTTTCTCATATTCGAAGATAGGTGGATGGTACTGGCAATTCGGTACAAAAGAATGATTGTAAAATGCTATCTCTAAAAATGTTTTGATTATTACATTCCATCAAGTTGATGTCAAATCTTATTGACCATGTAGATACATTTTCTCTAGGACAAATCTGTTTCCAACCTGTTCTTTCAGATCTTCCACGTTGTTGTTCGTAACCCTCTTCTCTTTCTTTCCATCTGTCCTAGCATTATACTTCTTTAGAAAGCTAGATCTTTGGTTGCAGTGCCTAATCTAAGTTTAGATATTTGTATAACTGAGAATTCTAGGTTGATTTGTTCAGTAATCCACTGTATGCATGGTCCATTTTGGGACTTCTATAAGTTGAAGTCCATAGATCTGAAAGTTTCCAAGCTTGTGTACACTCACACAGACGTGCCAATAGTAGAGACAGCATGATCTGGCCACAAGGCATACAGAACACACAGTGTATCTAAATTTAGATGAGTGCAAGAGGGTTTTTTAAGTCAAGATGAGTAGAGAGCTCAGAGTATAGATCTTCAGCTTCTGACAAGCAAAGTGAATGGGGAAGCCATATTCACTTAACACCCATGTTCAACTTAACAATTGCAGTGATTCACTTAACCATTGTGGCAAGAAAGATTGTAAAATGGAGCAAAATTCACTTAACAAATGTCTCTATTAGTAACAGAAATTTTGGGCTCAATTGGGGTTGTAAGTCAAGGACTATCTGCCAGATGAATTGGTAGACACTGACGCAGATACTGTATATCCTCTTCCTTTTCCTTTGGGAAGTACTTTGGAAAGTTTAAAAATGGCCACCTTGCTCCCCTGTCCAGCTTGTTCTGTTCAGACAAGGAGAGTGATATTTCAGATAAAGGAAATGCTGAAGGCATGTAGAAAGAGGGATTAAAAACTCGTATTATGAATTTTGTCTCCACCTGAACCTGTGGAACAACTAGCCTCTGATTTTCAGCACTCTCGTTTTGTGGATAAATATCTGAGAGAGTTTGGTATATAAGTAGTCCTCGGCTTATGACTGTAATTGGGACCCGAATTTTGGTTGATAACCAAGATGGATGTTAAGTGGAGTGATGGGCTGTCTACTAAAACAAAGCAAAGTTATGGCAAATACTTGAAAGGAGACAGGGAAGCCTGTAATTGTGAAGTCTGCCTGGCAAAAACAAATAATTCTTATTCACAGGGAAAGTGAACGAGTAATACAATGCTTATTAGATAACTTCTGGAGCATTCATCAGCCAAGGCTTAGGGATAGGGACAGCTAGAGGCCAATAGTGCAATTGTTAGATCATTACTAAAACATTTATTAGATGATTTGTTTGATATCTCCCGCCTTATCCTGCCTTCTGCTTTGGTGAAATTGTATAAGGCTTTCTTAATCCTTTGTTCTGGGTCCTGGCATTTTGCTGGTTGGGGCCCTTTTGTGGATGCGCTTCAATAAAAGGAAACAAAACATGCATGTCTCATGTCTTCATTGGCTTCGGCATCAGGCTCACATCTGAACTGGGGACAACAATCCAACTTTACAGTTTTGGCTCCAATTGTTAAGTGAATTGTGTGATTGTTGAGCGAATTCTGGCTTCCTTCTGTTGAATTTGCTTGTCATAAGCCATTTGGGAAGGTCACACATGGTGATCACATGACCTAGAGCAGTGATGGCGAAACTTTTTGGCACCGAGTGTCCAAACCGGAACGTGCATGCGCATGGGTCCCGGCCAGCTGGTATTCGCACATGCTGGAGCCCCAGAAACCCAAAGACCATGTGGCATGCACACCGGCCAGCTGGTTTTTGGGTTTCTGGGACTCCAGCATGCACAAAGGTCAGCTGGCCAGCAGGCACAAGCGTGTTGGAAACCAGAAAAGCAGCTGGCAATGGCACATGTGTCCACGAAGAGGGCTCTGCATGTCACCTCTGGCACGCATGCTATAGGTTCGTCATCATGGACCTAGAATCACTGCAACCATCATAAATACATGCTGGTTGCCAAGCGCCCAAATTTTGATCGTATGACTGTGGGGATGCTGCAAAAGTCATATGTGTGAGGACCAGTTGTAAGTCACTTTTTTCACTGCCATTGCAACCTTGAGTAGTCAGTAACAAATGATTGTATGTTGGGGACTACCTGTACAAAATTCAGAATCCCCTCTTTCATACACACACAAGTGAATGTTTAATATTCTCCTTCAGTATTTATTTTCCAGCTACCCTTAAAAGTTATAGTTCTCTTCCCATAAATCCAATAGGGTTTTGCTCCTCCCCAGGTAACATTACTCATTCAAAGAGCTGCTGAAAAATGAGGGTCCAGAGGGGATGTGTACAAGATGGTCAAACAAATCAAGAAGGACATCTGCACCATTGGTGGGTTTCAAAAATGTTTAGAACCTCATCTGTAGGTATGGCCTGCTTTGTGGGAGTGGCTTGCTGGCCATGTGATTGGGTGGGAGTGGCTAGCCAGCCATGTGACTAGGTGGGAGTGGCTTGCCACCATGTGACTGGGTGTGTGTGGCCAACTTGTAAAATGTGGTGACACTCACTTAACAACGCTCTTGCT